GGATAATCTCCTACCAGAGATATAATGGATAATCTCCTACCAGAGATATAATGGATAATCTCCTTCCAGAGATATAATGGATAATCTCCTTCCAGAGATATAATGGATAATCTCCTTCCAGAGATATAATGGATAATCTCCTTCCAGAGATATAATGGATAATCTCCTTCCAGAGATATAATGGATAATCTCCTTCCAGAGATATAATGGATAATCTCCTTCCAGAGATATAATGGATAATCTCCTTCCAGAGATATAATGGATAATCTCCTTCCAGAGATATAATGGATAATCTCCTTCCAGAGATATAATGGATAATCTCCTTCCAGAGATATAATGGATAATCTCCTTCCAGAGATATAATGGATAATCTCCTTCCAGAGATATAATGGATAATCTCCTTCCAGAGATATAATGGATAATCTCCTTCCAGAGATATAATGGATAATCTCCTTCCAGAGATATAATGGATAATCTCCTTCCAGAGATATAATGGATAATCTCCTTCCAGAGATATAATGGATAATCTCCTTCCAGAGATATAATGGATAATCTCCTTCCAGAGATATAATGGATAATCTCCTACCAGAGATATAATGGATAATCTCCTTCCAGAGATATACTGGATAATCTCCTTCCAGAGATATAATGGATAATCTCCTTCCAGAGATATAATGGATAATCTCCTACCAGAGATATAATGGATAATCTCCTTCCAGAGATATAATGGATAATCTCCTTCCAGAGATATAATGGACAATCTCCTTCCAGAGATATAATGGATAATCTTCTTCCAGAGATATAATGGATAATCTCCTTCCAGAGATATAATGGATAATCTCCTACCAGAGATATAATGGATAATCTCCTTCCAGAGATATAATGGATAATCTCCTTCCAGAGATATAATGGACAATCTCCTTCCAGAGATATAATGGATAATCTTCTTCCAGAGATATAATGGATAATCTCCTTCCAGAGATATAATGGATAATCTCCTACCAGAGATATAATGGATAATCTCCTTCCAGAGATATAATGGATAATCTCCTTCCAGAGATATAATGGATAATCTCCTACCAGAGATATAATGGATAATCTCCTTCCAGAGATATAATGGATAATCTCCTTCCAGAGATATAATGGATAATCTTCCATAGACACGGGTCTACCTGATTAACTGACTTAGTCAAGCAGCTACGACTGGAGACCAGTGGATCCATCCAGTGATGTATAGACCTAGTCTAGTGATGGAGACCTAGTCTAGTGATGTATAGACCTAGTCTAGTGATGGAGACCTAGTCCAGTGGCCACACTCGTGGTGTCGGGAAAAAAACCGTGACTACTGGACAATATGATCAGGAGATACTTCGGTCAAAACATCGTCTAAGATACAATACCGTGGCTGGAAAGCCTCAACTGACCTACAATACCGAGGCTGGAACAAGCCACAACTAACCCACAATAGTGAGGCTGGAACAAGCCACAACTGACCCACAATACCGAGGCTGCAACAAGCCACAACTAACCCATAATACCGAGGCTGGAACAAGCCTCAACTAACCCACAATACCGAGGCTGGAACAAGCCTCAACTAACCCACAATACCGAGGCTGGAACAAGCCACAACTAACCCACAATACCGAGGCTGGAACAAGCCACAACTAACCCACAATACCGAGGCTGGAACAAGCCACAACTAACCACAATACCGAGGCTGGAACAAGCCTCAACTAACCCACAGTACCGAGGCTGGAACAAGCCACAACTAACCACAATACCGAGGCTGGAACAAGCCACAACTAACCACAATACCGAGGGCTGGAACAAGCCACAACTAACCCACAATACCGAGGCTGGAACAAGCCTCAACTAACCCACAATAGTGAGGCTGGAACAAGCCACAACTAACCCACAATACCGAGGCTGGAACAAGCCACAACTAACCCACAATACCGAGGCTGGAACAAGCCTCAACTAACCCACAATACCGAGGCTGGAACAAGCCTCAACTAACCCACAATAGTGAGGCTGGAACAAGCCACAACTAACCCACAATACCGAGGCTGGAACAAGCCACAACTAACCCACAATACCGAGGCTGGAAACAAGCCACAACTAACCCACAATACCGAGGCTGGAACAAGCCACAACTAACCCACAATACCGAGGCTGGAACAAGCCACAACTAACCCACAATACCGAGGCTGGAACAAGCCTCAACTAACCCACAATACCGAGGCTGGAACAAGCCTCAACTAACCCACAATAGTGAGGCTGGAACAAGCCACAACTAACCCACAATAGTGAGGCTGGAACAAGCCACAACTAACCCACAATAGTGAGGCTGGAACAAGCCACAACTGACCCACAATACCGAGGCTGGAACAAGCCACAACTAACCCACAGTATCGAGGCTGGAACAAACCTCAACTAACCCACAATACCGAGGCTGGAACAAGCCTCAACTAACCCACAATACCGAGGCTGGAACAAACCTCAACTAACCCACAATACCGAGGCTGGAACAAACCTCAACTAACCCACAATACCGAGGCTGGAACAAGCCACAACTAACCCACAATACCGAGGCTGGAACAAGCCACAACTAACCCACAATACCGAGGCTGGAACAAACCTCAACTAACCCACAATACCGAGGCTGGAACAAACCTCAACTAACCCACAATACCGAGGCTGGAACAAGCCACAACTAACCCACAATACCGAGGCTGGAACAAACCTCAACTAACCCACAATACAGAGGCTGGAACAAGCCACAACTAACCCACAATACAGAGGCTGGAACAAGCCACAACTAACCCACAATACTGAGGCTGGAACAAGCCTCAACTAACCCACAATACCGAGGATGGAACAAGCCACAACTAACCCACAGTACCGAGGCTGGAACAAGCCTCAACTAACCCACAGTACCGAGGCTGGAACAAGCCACAACTAACCCACAATAGTGAGTCTGGAACAAGCCACAACTAACCCACAATACCGAGGCTGGAACAAGCCACAACTAACCCACAGTACCGAGGCTGGAACAAGCCTCAACTAACCCACAGTACCGAGGCTGGAACAAGCCACACCTAACCCACAATAGTGAGTCTGGAACAAGCCACAACTAACCCACAATACCGAGGCTGGATCAAGCCACAACTAACCCACAATAGTGAGGCTGGAACAAGCCACAACTAACCCACAATACCAAGGCTGGAATAAGCCACAACTAACCCACAATGCCGAGGCTGGAACAAACCTCAACTAACCCACAATACCGAGGCTGGAACAGACCTCAACTAACCCACAATACCGAGGCTGGAACAAACCTCAACAAGCCCACAATACCGAGGCTGGAACAAGCCACAACTAACCCACAATACCGAGGCTGGAACAAACCTCAACTAACCCACAATACCGAGGCTGGAACAAACCTCAACTAACCTACAATACCGAGGCTGGAACAAACCTCAACTAACCCACAATACCGAGGCTGGAACAAGCCACAAACTAACCCACAATACCGAGGCTGGAACAAGCCACAAACTAACCCACAATACCGAGGCTGGAACAAACCTCAACTAACCCACAATACCGAGACTGGAACAAACCTCAACTAACCCACAATACCGAGGCTGGAACAAGCCACAACTAACCCACAATACCGAGGCTGGAACAAACCTCAACTAACCCACAATACCGAGGCTGGAACAAACCTCAACTAACCCACAATACCGAGGCTGGAACAAGCCACAACTAACCCACAATACCGAGGCTGGAACAAGCCACAGCTAACCCACAGTACCGAGACTGGAACAAACCTCAACTAACCCACAATACCGAGGCTGGAACAAGCCACAGCTAACCCACAGTACCGAGACTGGAACAAACCTCAACTAACCCACAATACCGAGGCTGGAACAAACCTCAACTAACCCACAATACCGAGGCTGGAACAAGCCACAACTAACCCACAATACCGAGGCTGGAAAAAACCTCAACTAACCCACAATACCGAGGCTGGAACAAACTTCAATTAACCCACAATACCGAGGCTGGAACAAGCCACAACTAACCCACAGTACCGAGACTGGAACAAACCTCAACTAACCCACAATACCGAGGCTGGAACAAGCCACAACTAACCCACAGTACCGAGACTGGAACAAACCTCAACTAACCCACAATACCGAGGCTGGAACAATACACAACTAACCTAAAATGGTAACAGATGTTAGATTATCTAATTAACACCCCGAGGGGTGTGTATATACCTCTCAATGTATATACACTAACACACCTCTCAGTGTATATACTCTAAGACACTTCTCGGTATATATACACTGAAGGATGCGTTATACTTCGTGTGTATTCCTGTGAGTCTTCCGTCAGTCCCAAGACGTGAGTCCTGCCATAGATTTAGATTATTAGAAATTTGTGTTAGAATCTTGAAATTAAATAGTTTCAAAGGCGAAATCAAAATCCACTCTTGATGCACTGTTGCTAATTTAAAAGTATCAATTAATATTTCAAAATATTCGTGCCAGGGTCAATGGGCATTTCCTCAGGTCATTAGAGAGTCAGGTCACTCAGGTCGTATCAAACCTTGGTGATGATTCTCCTTGGTAGTCCGTGGTTCGATATCCGGTACGAGTGGAGACACTGGACGTGTGTCCTTAAGACACCTGCTGTCACCTAGCAGTAAATAGGTACCTGGGTGTTAGGTGACTGGTGTGGGTGGCATCCTGGGGACAAAATTAACCTAAGTTGCGGGAAATGCTCTGCATAACCAGGAACATCATTGATGTCAGCTATGGTCTGTGTAAGTTGTATCATGTACGTGTAGATAGAAATATTATAATTTATTATTTAATATTTCTCGGTAAAATAAAACCCTTGGATATTGTATTGGATTTATAGATAAACTATTTGTAGTTATAAGGGTCGACTTTATCTGCCAAGTCGTGGCTGAGTAAGTGTACTTCTTGCAGGGTGAAGACATCTTGCGGGGAGAGACCTCGTAAGAGAGATTGGCAAAGTGTCAACAAATCCATGGAGGAAGCTAAGAGACAGCAAGAAGAAGCTATGGTAAGTGCTATCATCGCCAGAGTGAAGCTGGAGTGTGCAATGGAAGGAGAAGACTGTTCCAGACGAGGCTACCAGAAGCACTAAATCTACTCACAACAGATATATAACGTATACAAAAGTGATATGAAAGCTGACAGATAATTTATATTGTAAATACGGAATTAGTTCATATAAGTTTGGGAAATACGTGATACAGTCACTGACGAAGCTAAGTTTGGCTAAATGTGTGTTAGAAATAAGACTAGAAAGCAGCCAGTGGCGAGAAAGTCACAGTGGAGTCTTATCGTTAGTGGAGAAAACCAGTGGAAGGACAAACTGCTGTAAGGTTAAACTAAGGATGGTCTAAACAAATACCTATAACAGTGCTCAATACTAGGAAGCATAATCTAGTAGTGGACGATTTGTGATGTTCAATAGTGAGTTAGGAGTTAGGTCCTCGGGAACACCTACCCCTTGGGAGTTTAGATATATAATCAAGTGGTATAATCCGGCCGTGAAACGTGGTATAATCAGGCGAAAAAATATATCCTTGGTGGAGTTACCAGGATAATCTCTGGTGCAACATATAGCAAAACGAAACTAAAATGACGGTCTGTGTTGCAACAAATATAACAACGAAAGTAATCAACTTAAATTAACATTTTATGACGCATAAGACACATTTATTAGCTAAGATACTGACCCATTTAACCATGTTCAAACATTAACCTCCTGTTAATATGTCCAACTTTAACTAGAATAAGGACCAATAACGAACAACAGTGTACGTGAAACTATTCCCAGATGATTGAAGACATTTCAAATCATTATACACCTAATATAACTCAAAATAAACCACTGGACAAGCATAAATATTGAAAATCCAAAAGGGATTGGAACTTGTCACAATCTCAGGATCGTATCTGACATACTGGTCATCCCTCAAGGGTCAGTATGTCATAATAAACAAAACAGTATTCTTAAGTATCACTTAACGTGTAAATTCTAGCATTTACGCGGACTTACACCATTATCTTACCTCAAAACGTTATAGCTCTTAGATACCTTATACAGAAAGCTCAAATCTGGTGTTAGGGTTGGTGGTAGGCTGGCTAGCACACTGGTTGGTGGTAGGCTGGCTAGCACACTGGTTGGTGGTAGGCTGGCTAGCATACTGGTTGGTGGTAGGCTGGCTAGCATACTGGTTGGTGGTAGGCTGGCTAGCATACTGGTTGGTGGTAGGCTGGCTAGCACACTGGCTGGTGGTAGGCTGGCTAGCACACTGGCTGGTGGTAGGCTGGCTAGCACACTGGTTGGTGGTAGGCTGGCTAGCACACTGGTTGGTGGCAGGCTGGCTAGCACACTGGTTGGTGGTAGGCTGGCTAGCACACTGGTTGGTGGTAGGCTGGCTAGCATACTGGTTGGTGGTAGGCTGGCTAGCACACTGGTTGGTGGTAGGCTGGCTAGCATTCTGGCTGGTGGTAGGCTGGCTAGCACACTGGTTGGTGGTAGGCTGGCTAGCACACTGGTTGGTGGCAGGCTGGCTAGCACACTGGTTGGTGGTAGGCTGGCTAGCATACTGGTTGGTGGTAGGCTGGCTAGCATACTGGCTGGTGGTAGGCTGGCTAGCACACTGGTTGGTGGTAGGCTGGCTAGCATACTGGTTGGTGCTAGGCTGGCTAGCACACTGGCTGGTGGTAGGCTGGCTAGCACACTGGTTGGTGGTAGGCTGGCTAGCATACTGGTTGGTGGTAGGCTGGCTAGCACACTGGTTGGTGGTAGGCTGGTTAGCACACTGGTTGGTGGTAGGCTGGCTAGCATACTGGTTGGTGGTAGGCTGGCTAGCACACTGGTTGGTGGTAGGCTGGCTAGCATACTGGTTGGTGGTAGGCTGGCTAGCATACTAGTTGGTGGTAGGCTGGCTAGCACACTGGTTGGTGGTAGGCTGGCTAGCACACTGGTTGGTGGTAGGCTGGCTAGCGCACTGGCTGGTGGTAGGCTGGCTAGCACGCCTGGATGGTGGTAGGCTGTCTAGTCTAAGAGAGTAGACCTCTAGCACCTCATTTGCCAGGTGAGAGTAGGCCTATGACACGTCAGTCATAGGTGGCAATAGTCCTATAAGACCTCAGTTAGAAGACAGTAGGTCTACTGTACATCAATTAGCAGGTGACAGTAACCCTACTCTTCCTTATCTTGTGTGTAAAAGAGTAGGCCTACAAAGACCTCAGTCACAGGAGGCCTACAAACCCTCATTCACGGGTGACAGGAGGCCTATAAAAACAACAGTCACAGGTGATAGGAGGCCTACAAACATTTCAGTCACAGAAGGGCTTCAAAGACCTCTGTCACAGGTGACAGCAGGCCTACAAACACCTCAGTCACAGGTGATAGGAGGCCTACAAACACCTCAGTCACAGGTGATAGGAGGCCTACAAACACCTCAGTCACAGGAGGCCTACAAACACCCCAGTCACAGGTGATAGGAGGCCTACAAACCCCTCAAATAATCAGTGATCGTGGCGAGAGACTATACATTGAACTTACTCTCAGAAGAACTATCTCAGAACCTTGAGTGAGCTAACTCTGTGGTGCTCCATAATGTCCAATTTCTTAATCAGTAATTTTCCCATTTAATATAAATACCTTTTTCTCAGTAGTCTAGAACAAAAAAATCGATTTTCTGATCCATTTTAGGTAAAATTTTCCCGCTTGCTGTGGATGTGTCAGAAATCTTGTGCGTTACATCTGTGTGTTTCTTATTGTTATGACAAATCTTTTTCAGAGATTCCTTAATGAATAACATTTTCTAGGATAAGATTTTTGCCTCTAAATATGCTGTGAGTTTCTGAATATTGAGGCGAGTTGAGGTAATGGTGGTGGACAGCTGGGGCGCTTGTTGGGGCCGCGTTTGTTTGTACAACTCTATGTTATGGGTCTGTGTAGAGCTCTATGTTATGGGTCTGTGTAGAGCTCTGTTATGGGTCTGTGTAGAGCTCTGTTATGGGTCTATGTAGAGCTCTATGTTATGGGTCTGTGTAGAGCTCTGTTATGGGTCTATGTAGAGTTTTATGTTATGGGTCTGTGTAGAGCTCTGTTATGGATCTATGTAGAGTTTTATGTTATGGGTCTGTGTAGAGCTCTATGTTATGGGTCTGTGTAGAGCTCTATGTTATGGGTCTGTGTAGAGCTCTATATTATGGGTCTGTGTAGAGCTCTATGTTATGGGTCTGTGTAGAGCTCTGTTATGGGTCTATGTAGAGCTCTATATTATGGGTCTGTGTAGAGCTCTGTTATGGGTCTATGTAGAGCTCTATATTATGGGTCTGTGTAGAGCTCTGTTATGGGTCTATGTAGAGTTTTATGTTATGGGTCTGTGTACAGCTCTATGTTATGGGTCTGTGTAGAGCTCTGTTATGGATCTATGTAGAGTTTTATGTTATGGGTCTGTGTAGAGCTCTATGTTATGGGTCTGTGTAGAGCTCTGTTATGGATCTATGTAGAGTTTTATGTTATGGGTCTGTGTAGAGCTCTATGCTATGGGTCTGTGTAGAGCTCTGCTTTGGGTCTATGTAGAGTTCTATGTTATGGGTCTGTGTAGAGCTCTGTGTTATGGGTCTATGTAGAGCTCTATGTTATGGGTCTGTGTAGAGCTCTATGTTATGTTTCACTCTGTGTAGAGCTTCATCACGTACATAGTTAACGTACATGTTCTTGGAAGATAAACACACACACACACCTGTGTGTGTGTGTGTGTGTGTGTGTGTGTGTGTGTGTGTGTGTGTGTGTGTGTGTGTGTGTGTGTGTCTGTGTGTGTGTGTGTGTGTCTGTGTGTGTCTGTGTGTGTGTGTGTGTGTCTGTGTGTGTACTCACTTATACTTACCTAATCGTGGTTGCAAGGGTCGAGTCACAGCTCCTGGCCACGTCTCTTCGTAAGTCCACTCAGTCCCAACTTCGTGTGTGTGTGTGTGTGTGTGTGTGTGTGTGTGTGTGTGTGTGTGTGTGTGTGTGTGTGTCTGTGTGTGTGTGTGTGTGTCTGTGTGTGTACTCACTTATACTTACCTAATCGTGGTTGCAAGGGTCGAGTCACAGCTCCTGGCCACGTCTCTTCGTAAGTCCACTCAGTCCCAACTTCGTGTGTGTGTGTGTGTGTGTGTGTGTCTGTGTGTGTGTGTGTGTGTGTGTGTGTGTGTGTGTGTGTGTGTGTGTGTGTGTGTGTGTGTGTGTGTGTGTGTGTGTGTGTGTAATAGCTGTAAATATACAGACAATTTAGACCACTGGACGCCTCTACAACGTTTTCAACATTATCTTAAAGCTGCGTATCACTCTCCAGGCTGAGTTTACACAGTCTGGTGGTACATGACCACAAAGTGACAGGTGATTGGTGGAGGGCGAGACACCAGAGTAATCGTTATAACAGATATTTAACAACGTTGTGTACAGCATCGCAGGTGTTAAATATTTAACAACGTTGTGTACAGCATCGCAGGTGTTAAATATTTAACAACGTTGTGTATAGCATCGCAGGTGTTAAATATTTAACAACGTTGTGTACAGCATCGCAGGTGTTAAATATTTAACAACGTTGTGTATAGCATCGCAGGTGTTAAATATTTAACAACGTTGTGTATAGCATCGCAGGTGTTAAATATTTAACAACGTTGTGTATAGCATCGCAGGTGTTAAATATTTAACAACGTTGTGTATAGCATCGCAGGTGTTAAATATTTAACAACGTTGTGTATAGCATCGCAGGTGTTAAATATTTAACAACGTTGTGTATAGCATCGCAGGTGTTAAATATTTAACAACGTTGTGTATAGCATCGCAGGTGTTAAATATTTAACAACGTTGTGTATAGCATCGCAGGTGTTAAATATTTAACAACGTTGTGTATAGCATCGCAGGTGTTAAATATTTAACAACGTTGTGTATAGCATCGCAGGTGTTAAATATTTAACAACGTTGTGTATAGCATCGCAGGTGTTAAATATTTAACAACGTTGTGTATAGCATCGCAGGTGTTAAATATTTAACAACGTTGTGTATAGCATCGCAGGTGTTAAATATTTAACAACGTTGTGTATAGCATCGCAGGTGTTAAATATTTAACAACGTTGTGTATAGCATCGCAGGTGTTAAATATTTAACAACGTTGTGTATAGCATCGCAGGTGTTAAATATTTAACAACGTTGTGTATAGCATCGCAGGTGTTAAATATTTAACAACGTTGTGTATAGCATCGCAGGTGTTAAATATTTAACAACGTTGTGTATAGCATCGCAGGTGTTAAATATTTAACAACGTTGTGTATAGCATCGCAGGTGTTAAATATTTAACAACGTTGTGTACAGCATCGCAGGTGTTAAATATTTAACAACGTTGTGTTATAGCATCGCAGGTGTTAAATATTTAACAACGTTGTGTATAGCATCGCAGGTGTTAAATATTTAACAACGTTGTGTACAGCATCGCAGGTGTTAAATATTTAACAACGTTGTGTATAGCATCGCAGGTGTTAAATATTTAACAACGTTGTGTATAGCATCGCAGGTGTTAAATATTTAACAACGTTGTGTATAGCATCGCAGGTGTTAAATATTTAACAACGTTGTGTACAGCATCGCAGGTGTTAAATATTTAACAACGTTGTGTATAGCATCGCAGGTGTTAAATATTTAACAACGTTGTGTATAGCATCGCAGGTGTTAAATATTTAACAACGTTGTGTATAGCATCGCAGGTGTTAAATATTTAACAACGTTGTGTATAGCATCGCAGGTGTTAAATATTTAACAACGTTGTGTATAGCATCGCAGGTGTTAAATATTTAACAACGTTGTGTATAGCATCGCAGGTGTTAAATATTTAAACAACGTTGTGTATAGCATCGCAGGTGTTAAATATTTAACAACGTTGTGTATAGCATCGCAGGTGTTAAATATTTAACAACGTTGTGTATAGCATCGCAGGTGTTAAATATTTAACAACGTTGTGTATAGCATCGCAGGTGTTAAATATTTAACAACGTTGTGTATAGCATCGCAGGTGTTAAATATTTAACAACGTTGTGTATAGCATCGCAGGTGTTAAATATTTAACAACGTTGTGTATAGCATCGCAGGTGTTAAATATTTAACAACGTTGTGTATA